AAAGGGTAAAGTGGTGCCCGTGCCCTCTGCTCATCTAGCATGGTTAGAGTACTGACTGCCTAACCTGACTATCTAAGAGAGCAGGACCTGACCAGCCTGACTTCAGGGACCAAGGTCTCTGGGAAACACGCACTAGTGCACAGATGCATGACATTCTCAGCAGTCCTTGATACTGGGCTTCAGTATCGGAATAAGCAAAGTCCCTTCACCAGCCATGCTACAACAATCTTGGTTGGTACTGCTGAAAGGGGAGCTGGTCTCGCTTACTATTTTTGTTATGCTTAATGCTGCCAAGAGACACAACTCAAAGCCTTGGTGGATGGATCCTGTTGTGCCCTAGGTTGGGGTGGACAAATGGTCCATCATTCCAAACTCTGGAGTCTAGTGCAAGTTCCAGCCGGGCTCAGTTTTTCTACATCTCACCTTGCTGTCTCAAGAGGAAAGTAAACAAGATTCTGCTCAGCATTGCAGAGAACAACTGCTCAAGTGTTGCCTGGCAGATGGGGCCCAAGAGGGAGACCATGTGTTACTGAGTGAGGGTTTTAATTCCTCCCTGAGAGATCCTGGGCTGAAGATACCCAAGCAAGTTCAATGGGATAAGAGTCACCAGAGTGCAGCCATGACCTTGATTCCTACTTCAGTCCTTGATGACTGGGCATCTTGCAGAAACAAGTCATGGCTAGGTCCTCAATTCTACAAGCCATTGGATATCTCCTATTCCCCAAACTGACTTCTTCTTTCTCTCTCCACATCTCCACCCTCTTTTCATATCGGCAATCCTCTACATTTATGCAGTGTGTTCCCTGTCATGAAGCTGGGCAGAGGCTGCATAACTTTCCTGCAGCTCTCACAGCTGCCACTACCTGCCCTTACACATCCTGCTCTTATTGTCCAAAAAAGTGCCACTACCCCGTACAAAGGCCATTTCCTTGATACCTCATTTTTGACTGTTCATTTGGCTCCTGCAGCACATCCTGGCAACACTGGAGGGCATTAGAGGAGTACTGGGAAGGTTTTGGTAATGCTGTTAGAGCTTGGAGAAGCTGCTGGCATCTCAGACAGAGAAGAGAATAACATCCAGGGAAGTCTGGAGAAGGAAAGAGCAATCTGCTGCTACTCAGTGTGTCTGAGAAGCTGGGAACATACTGCATTAAACTGATAATAATACCTTGAACAACAAGATGGTAGTTTCCATCTGGCCTAGTGCTGAGCTTGGTCTCTCTCATCTCTTCCCTGCCACAGCCAGGGAATCTTAGTCATAGGGTTGGCCATAGGTCATCCAATCAGGCGAGCAAAGATGAAAAAAGCCATATAGCAAGAGCAGGATGCTCAGAAGCAGCAGCAGCAGCAGCTGCTGCTGCAACTCTTGACTCTCCTCTCATCCCAGCTAGACCCTCCTTAAGCTTGGGAGGTGAAAGATGCTAAGAGCTATTTGCTTAATTAGTAGCAATAGCTGAAGTACTTGAGAAACAAAAGCTCCCCTCTCTCTCTGTGCCCCACTTTTACTTGGGAATGAGGGTTGGGGAGCAAATTGCTTGGAAGCCAGAAAGCACCTTGGATCTCATCACCATGGCTGCACAGACACAGACTCCTGTTATCTCCAGAAGAACAAAACCCTCCTCCCACCCTCTTCTGTCTCAGCTGGAGCTGATAAAAGGAGAAGAAATAAACAAAACACATTTTTAAAAAATACCTCAACCCAAAATAGCAAATAAATACTCAGGGAATAAACCAATCTTTGAGAAAACATATTTTTTGCTGCAGTAGCTTTTGGGTTTCTGGAGAGTTGAATGACTCAAATGAGGATTTCAGGTTACAGAATCCATCTCAGTAATGCCATGAATTATAAAATCATTACTCACAAACATGATAGATCATGACAATTGCTTGAGAATAATGGTCTCTAGCTATACATATCTAAAAGTGTAGACCTGAGTTATTTTTATATAGGGATGCGTGTACTGTTACAGTGAGTATATAGAATTTTTACGGACTCTTGTTTGAAACCCACAGGATCACAACTGTAAATTTTCCATGAGACTCTTCTGTATCTGTATTTCACAATGCGCATGGAGAGATAGCAAGCAAATAGGCAGGGTAAGATAGCAGAATTAGTCACCTAAAAGAGATTTTGATGCTACCAGTTAAACTGCTTTTGTTATCTGGGCACCTTCACTCAGTGTGGATAGGATTTCTAAAGTAACACGGAATGAAAAATAAAGTGGGACTTCGATGTGTACTCGTAACCAAAAGGGTAAAAATATGTCAAATAGCATAGCAGTAAAGAACTGAAAACTAGCACCCATATATTTATGTACTGAGAGAAATTAGTTGCTCCAGGCTGGCTTCCCACATAAACTGGATAGATAATTTCACTTGGTGCTTCACGCATCAAGCTCTGACCATCTGGCTGAATGTGAATGTACCTTTCAGCAACATGTCTCATTTTGGCTTGATGCCCCCAGGGCCACCTCCCTACAACAGGCGCTATTTCAATGTTTAATTACACTTAAAGTTGAAAAAGGACAGCTTATTTTCAGTCTGTATCCTTCCAGTATCAGCTTCTGGATACGGAATCTTTTGCTGTCTGTGTATGCATGCAGGGAGCTGTATGCTTAAATCAACCTGTTAACTGCATAAGAGATTAAGGGTCAGAGGATGGCTCACACAACAACTCTGTTTTTTAAAAATAAGTCATTAATAGGTGAATAAACAATGGGAATAACTGCTAATTCAAAATTTAACCTAGAGTTCCCTGTTTTGCACTGACTGGCAGACACAGTCTGTTCTTTGGATCTTTTTCATTATCAGTAGTTGAAATTAAAATGCTTGTAATTCTATCAAGAAAATTATGACTTTGTTACACAATATACATTTTGCTTATGTAAATTTTGTCTTTGTTTACAACATTTTCTTCCAACTGCCAAGAAATACTTTCTTTTGACTGAGAAAGGCCAAAGAATGCCACATTAAACAGCTGATTATGCTTTTCAATTTTTCCACACAAGTATTTTCTACTATCAGCATTTCCTTGGCCAAGCATAGCGAAGTGTTACCTGTGTTAGTCTAACCTGGGTCACAACAGAAAAATCAGCAAGTGTGGTTTCTGTCTTGGGAGACTCACAGGGCTTGATAGCTCTAAAACTTAGCTGACCTTCTTTTGCATATGGACCTACATGGTTAAACTCATCTAGATCATGACAACAGCTTCCTCAGACTGGCCTGAAAAGATCAGGCTTTTATTGATAGCTCTGAGGACACTGTTATCGCTACGGAGAGCATGCTGCCCTCATCTTCTCCCACTGCTGAATAAACATGAACATCTGCATAGCTATTGTAATAACAGCAATGTTAATATTAATGATACTGGAGTGAGATCTAGGTCTAGTCTCCAGTGCTCACATTCTCCTGGTCAACCATCTCTCTCAGATGTCTTTGAGAGCCTGGTTTAAAAAATCATCTTGAAGCAGCTGCTGATTTTTCCCCAAACCCAGCAACAGTTAAAAAACTGAGTGTAGGATTTCAAAGCATATCAGGTGTTCCAGTTGGGTGTGGACATTCAATGAACTTATAAGATAAATAAATTGCTGTAGATGGCAGCCCAGGACTCTGAGGCTCCATTGTACCTATGCCCCTGTCTTGCTGCATGCTCCAGAAAAAGTACCATCTCATTACATTTTTGACAGAGGAAGAGCAGTATGTCTGGGCCTGAGGTATAAGAAGTATGCCTCTTAGAAAAAAAGGCTCTGGAGAAGACCAGTGTTCCCCTTACACTCTGTTTGATGGACAGGACTTACACTGGTGCTCAGGGAGGATGCTGTGGCTGAACATCACTGTCACCACTGTGCCCTATAACCAGTTACAACGAAAGACTGGTTTCCAAAGGACACATACAATTGTGCTCACATGCTCCTTAGTGTGGCAGAAATAGCTAATATTTTCTTTTTGCAGAGCCAGTATTTGACCTCTCTCTTGCCTGCTGACTACGTGTTCCTTTTATATATTAGCATGATGCGCTGGTTGTAGTGTCTCCCCCTTCGCTATCACTCATGTACATCCACCTCTCATCTCCCAGTATCCACCAACTCCCAGCATCTGTGCCACTTACTTGGCCTCTTTTCCTTTATGCTACTCCCCTCTACAGTCGTGTGACTACTATTGTGTGGTCCCTGCCACACAAAAGCTAGCCTGACCTAATTTAAATCAGTCCTATTGAAGCTGTTCTTGTTTTATCTCCCAGCACAAGGGCTGCACTCCCCATTTCAGAGGTAGCACAAATGAATGGCTAATTGGGGGAGTATTGTGCAGGCAGTGTTTTCTCCAAGCCCTGACTATCAGCTCTCCTGTTCGATGGTGCTCCAAGTTCCCCTCTCTTTTAGCAGCCGCAGGCTGTTTTGAGAGCAGAGGGAGAAAAAGGGGAGAAAGAAACTCTGCAGTCATTGCAGCATGTCGGACAACCAAAGCACAGCACAGCCACGTTCAGCACACTGGTGAAAAGGTCAGCTGGGGGAGGGTTTCCTTCTTCAGAAAGGGCAGGTGCTGGTGATAATAGTAGATAATATCCATCCTTCACCTCCAAGCCACCCCCTGCTTTCTTTTTTTTTTTTTTTGTGTGTGTATTTATGTGACAGTCTTTCTTCAAACTCTAGAGATTGCCCTTGGGGAGGGGAGGTGAGGCACAGGTGGCTTTCGTATGTGAGCTGTGCCACAGGGTTTGTAAATCTTGAGAGCAGAGAATGGGTCAGGGGCTGGAGGGCAGGCTGAAATGTTGCCAGTTCACTTCACCCTCCTGAGCAAACTTTGAGCAGTCATCACCGACTGACCTTTGTAAGCAAAGTGAGCAACAACCCTGGGAGCTATTCCAATCTAGGACCCATCTACACTGTGTCCCAGGGTCCACCACTGACTGACTGAGGGATGACTGCAGTATTTTTTGAGGTGGTTTGGGAGTTAATACCAGATACACAATATCTTTTTTTTCTGCTTTCTGCCTCTCATAGGTACCTTCCAAAAACTTCCTCCCTGGGGCTGTTTGGTCTGTTCATCTCCTTTTGCCACTGATCATTTGATTGAAAGATAGACCTGCGGAAGAAAAAACTTGAAGCATTTGAGTCTTTTCATTGATGGTCTTGGTTCACTGCATATTCCATTTCTTCTGCACTAGGGAGAGGACTTTACCCTTACATCTTGATAAGATTTTCCCCCACCACACTTAGGTGATAACACAGTGCAAAGGTTGCTACCAGAGTCCCCTTCTGCAGGCTCCACCAGTTGCAGGCAAAAAGAGTGTAACACCATGATATTAAACAGTGGTGTGAAGCAAACAAGTCCCAAGGGTCAAGATTTGTTATAGACTTTAATGTAATATTCTAAACCTTACTGCCAGTCAAATTAGAGAAAACACCAGCAAGTCAGAATTTAAAGACATGTGACAACCTTCTCTCTATTCCTTTTGGCTCCAAATCAAGAGATTAGCCACTACAACATAAAATTGAATATAACCATTAGGTTTTTCTTTTCTTTCTTATGGGTTTATGGTTCATTTATCTCATCTAATTTTTTCTCTGCAGCAAGCAGAGCATAAGACACACTTCAAATAACAAAATAAAATGAGAAAAATGAATTATCATATTACCACCTTATCCCAAGGGCTGAAGATTTATGAAAAAAAAAAAAAAGACAAAGTAGTGCTATAGGAGCACATGCATTGCTAACACTGCTCTAAGATAATAATAAGGATATGGTGTATTCCTAGAACCACACAAAATTGGGACCAGGGACTTTACCCAAAATCTCAGTGATGAGAGACTCACTACATGGCAGTTGCCAGTGTCATTATGCAGACAGTACACACTGTCTTGGAGAGACACAGGCAGTGAGCGTATTTTGCTTTAGGGAAAGTTTACTTGCAGGAAGGGAGAAGTAGCACGAAATGTTAGATAACCCACCACCAGTCATCCACCAGCCTCTGTCCTGAGGCCAGATTCACTCTGAGCAGCACTGCAGGGAGCCCCACTCCCCGTTTGCCACTGTTATACCGACATCTGGTGGCAGCTGCCTCAGGGAAAGGAGCTGATACTTCTTCACATGTGGCCCAAAAGCACATCTTGTCCTCATGGCCTGCATACAGCCTGCACACCTGGCTTCGGTCTGAGCCACAAGGCTGAGGGGCGGGCATGGGCTGAGGGGTGCAGGCTGCCAGGAGGGCATGCAGCAGGCCTGAAGCCTCCAGCAGTGCCATGAGGAGCTGGGCATGAGGCCTCGTTGTGCTATGGGCATTGCGCCCTGTGTGAGGAATGCACGTTCTGCTCCTTGCTGGGCTGTTCACCTTTCTGAAAGGAACACCAGCAGAATGCCCTCATACGCAGTGGTGTGGGACAAACCACCTCTTCCTCAGCCAGCAGACCTCTAGAGACAATAATGAAGAGACAGTCGTTACTCATTATGGCTAGTCGCTCAGAACCCCACGCAAAATTTGCTGGTTCTTGGCAAAAGGTTTCCTAGGGGAATACAGGAATGCCCCCACACCACCGACCCGAGTGATGTGCAGAGCACGCGCTGCTGAACAACAACAACCACGGCGGGTTTCCGTAGTGTAGCGGTTATCACGTTCGCCTCACACGCGAAAGGTCCCCGGTTCGATCCCGGGCGGAAACATTTTTTTTTTTTTTTCCCCACTTCTTTTTATTTCTTTATTCTTTTCCTTATCCCTCGTATGATTTTATTTACCTCCTCCCAACTCTTCGAGGCTCCGCAGCTCCTCTCGGTGAGAGTTGGGGCCGAAAGGACAGAACTGCGCTCTCAAAGCAGGGCAACGTACACATTCCACCGCCAGCGCCCAAATGGGGAAAAGTGCGCTAGGTCACGCGTTTTGGAGAGGCTTCAAAATCTATGAGAAGCAGAAAATCATTGGAATACTCTATGTAAGGCTAAACAGAGGCTAAAGATATGCTAGGAAAGTGAGAAACCTGCATTTCAGTAATCATAATGCCCCGTACACTACATGATGTTTTGACTGAAACCCAAAAACAAAAAAAACTTAGAACCATGACAGAGAAAAAAAAAAAGAAAAAACTGCCTGCGTTGGCCGGGAATCGAACCCGGGTCAACTGCTTGGAAGGCAGCTATGCTAACCACTATACCACCAACGCACTACAATTAGTGTGCGCCCGCTTTGTGTACTAACCAGAATCACAAGGACCCAACCACTTTTCCCTGGAAGGGGTTGAAAACCGAGATGGAGTATGTAGCAACGCTGCCCCACGAGGGCGCTTAAAGATGCATTCGGGATTTATCTCGGGTGTCAAGAAGAGAAAGATATTCGTTTTGTGTGTTTTTACCACCAGTTCCCTCCGTACCCTCTCCAGCAAGTTCCCCCTCCCACGCTGCGGCTCCTTCCCCCACCCGCACTGCGCTCTTGGTACCGCCCCTCGCGCGCTCCCGCCAACCCACTTCCCACGCGCGCGCGCCTCACTTCCGGAGCCGGGTGAAAGGCCGCGCAGGGGAAGGCCGCTGCCCCCTCCTGTCTCCCTCCTTCCTCCTCCCTGCTCCCCACCCCGCTTCCGGGGCTGCCTGGTGTCCGCGGCATGGAGTGGGAGTGACGGAGTTGCCGCGTTTCCCCCCCTCCCCGCCCTGCAGAAGAGCCTCCACCATCCCCCTTGCCCGCCCGTTGAGGGGGGAGGTCTCCGTGTCCTGGGGTGAGTGAGGAGAGCGGGGGGGGGCGGGGTGAGGGGCGACCCCGGGACGGGAGGCTGTGCCCAGGGCGCGCGGAGGGGCCTGGGAGCCGGGCGGGCCTCTATCGGTCTCCCGTGACTCGTCCACCCCCACAGATTCCGGAGGCCACCACGCCGAGGACGGGGCTTGCCCTTTCCCTCGCCCCCCCCAGGCGAAGTGGGGAAGGTCTCTCTGAGGGGATGTGGGGGGGTGCAGCCCCCCAGGACTGGGCAGCTGGAGGAGGGGTGCGTTATCTGGTTGTTAGGGCTCCCCCTGGAGCGTGTGCTGTGCCCGGGAGGGTTGAGGGTGGCTCGTGAGTTGGGGAGAACAAGGATCTCCCAGGCTCTGGGGAATGCTGCAGCCTTCCCCTCCAACAAGGGCAGCAGTGTAGTGGGGCTGCCTGCCCGGGCCTGGCTCTGGTCACTTGCAGCCTTTAACAAAGCTGAATCTTCTGCATGGAAGTCCCCACTGCTTTATTCCACTCTCACTCGCTTTTGTTTTTGGAAAAGCTACTCAAGCTTATGTTCGTCTGTGACATGGACGTGTTTATAGTGCTTAAGGAGAGGCTGTGGTTCTTTAGCTCTTCCCAAAGACACCTGCAGGCCCCTCAGTTTTCTAAATCCTCATGTCTGTTTGGTTCCATCTCTTTTCTTTGGGTTTTGCATTGGAGGATGTCATTGTTCCTGGGGGAGGGTGTGAGGGTGAGCTATGTCTCTGAATCATAAAAATCACAGAGTAATTGAGATTAAAAGGGACCTTAGGAAGTCCCTCGTCAAAGCCCTGCTCACAGCAAGGCCAGCTGTGAGATCAGACCAGGTTACTCAGCATTCCTGAGCACTGCTCATGTTGCCCTTTGTGCTCGCATTGAAGATTGCCCTGAAGTTACTGGATGCTGCTCTTTAGTCTCTCTTTGTTCTTTGCAGGAGGAACTTTCCTGCACAGGGCTTCTCTGTGACACTTTTTGTTTCTCTGAATTCTCTGTGAGTGTGGTTGAGGTGCAGAGATGGCTGTCTGGGCAGACCAAGGGCCTCAGTAGGAGATAGTGACAGGTCTGGGGTGTGTCTGTGATTCAAAGCCAGAAGAGGACACAAACATCATTGTCCTTTAAGGTACCAGTGGAGAAATAGTGAATATTGTGCCTTTGAATGCTCCTGGAAAATGAGTTTGTGCGGCAAGTCAGGCTTGTTCTGTGGCATCTGGCTGATGCTGAGGCAAAGGGAAACGCACTGGCTTGGAAGACAAATCTGTTTTTTTATGTCCTGTGTGGGGCCATGACGTGTTGTCAGCAGCAGGGCTGCTGACCCTCTGTCTGGATCCTTATGGTGTCCTTTGTTTGACTCTTGTGAGTATGTTGATCAGACTTGTGTTTTCTCTCTTCTTAATGCTGAATTTTGGGATTCAGAGAGGAGAGTGAAAGAAAGAGCTTCTGTTGAGGGTTCTCAGATTTTAAGAATTTTTGTAAGAAGAGATAGGCCATATATTTCCACTGTTGAGAAAAAGAACTGTGTTTTGTCTGGGTTGTTAGTATCCAGCGCATGTTAGTAGAACAGATTTGGATTGCAAAGCACAAACCAAGAGTTTTGGTTGTGCCTCTGTGCTCAGTTGCATATGTGACCTGTGGAAGGTACCAGGGGAAACTGCAGCTATATGAAATTCGCTTTTTTCATCTTCCTTCCTAGTTTCCTGTCCTGCCCAGCTTGCTGAGTAGTTAATGCAGAAGATAAAGAGGGTTCGTCTGGAAAACGAGACTGCAGGAAGTTGGAGAAGGTATGTTTCCCAAGTACTCCCAGGGTCTTTATTCACCCCATGCTCTGTGGAACATAGCAATAAACACGTTCTCAAGTGAATGAGGTTTCTGAAAAATCCCAAGCCTGTCTTTTTGCCTTGGGGAACTCTGTGTCAGGATCTGTGGGTCAGGAAGTGACTCAGGAGGTTGATTTATTTCACTGGCTTCCAATTCCAAGCTTTACAGTTTTTTCCCATACTGATGTCCCTTGCTGTCTTCCTATACTTGCTTGTTGTCTTCAGACTAATGTGTTTCTTCTGAAAAAGAACTTGGTGGATATATGTCTGACGTGTCTAACCAGGCTGGGCAGAATAAGCACACTGAGCGAGCTTGGAGGCACTCAAGGGATAGCTAAGTGCTTTGGGAAGTGAAGTCATCTAAGGACTGTTGAGGACTCTGAAGGAGAGTCTGTCTCTAGTAAGTTGTATAGCACATACAAGATTTATTGATAAGGAAGCTTTGAGAGTGTTTAAGAATAAGGTTGTTAAAATTGATGTATTGGTCAAAATCCTCTTTGAAAAA